GGGCCTGAATCTTGAGAAGTGGCAGTAGCTTCACAGATGGAGGGCAGGTCGTTTCCAAGTTGTGTCTCCCGCCTGAACGCCGCGCACATGCGAGAATTTGAGAGAGTTTGACCAATTGAGGGCGGTTGGTTTCAACATGTGGCTATCGCTTCAGCGCCGCGCACATTCGTTTCAACAATGCGCAAGAAATTCACGGATTTAAGACTGGTCGTTTTCAAAATGCGGTTATCGCCCTAGCGCCGCGCTCATGTGTTTTACAAGAGTTGTAAGAATTTCACGCGTTGAGGGCGGGTGGTTTTCAAACTGTGGCTCTCGCCTCAGGCCGTGCACATTCGCGTCAAACACTTGCAATATATTTATTGATTCTCATGGCCATTTGGGAACGAGTCAAGGTTGCCAGGGCGCAACAGTTACGTTGATTCGCGGTGTTGAAGTCCCAGGACTGGTGTTCTGGCACGGTTCTGGATTGTCAAGACGCTACAACCAGGGTGACTCGTGGCGTTGAAGTCCTGAGAATGGTATTTTGGCACGCTTCAGGAGTCTCACACGTTTGTCCCCCGACGGGGCACTCCCCTCGGTGGAAATGAGTCCTTGTAGGGGCCTTTGAAGAGGGAGCTTGGAGAGAGGGTGTATTCCAACATCGTTGATGAGTCTTGGGTTTACACTGGTCCTCCTCCTCCTCTTTCATGGCCGCCTTGGCTCGGGCTGACAGGGCGGCTGAGCCGATCGGATTTCCGATCCCCTGCTCGCGTGTCTGCATTGAACAGCCGCGTCAGGGCCGTCTTCTGACCTTTCTCGCACAGCTCCGCGCACGATGTGTTGAGAGTCGCTGGGTAGTCACGGATACCGTTACAGCAAACTCACAGCTTGGCGGTCGTGCGCACCACCAGGAATTTGGGTGTGCAGCACGTGCGCAAAGTCCAATTTGGGCCACTGATATTTGTGCCGCACTTGCGCCGACAAGACACTCTGTCGTGCCTCAACAGCACCGCTTCAGTGGTTACGACCATCACGCTCACGACAGCTCAACGGGATCCCACTGCGGGAATATGGCACGCCTCTCCCAGGCGAGTATGTCTGCCTCGACGCTGTCCTAAGTTCGCAAGGTCACTCAAAGATAGCATGTACGATGCATTGGGCCAGGCTAGCCGCGTGGACTGAGACTTCAACGACTTCCGGCCAGCTTCAGGCCTTTTGGGGGGCCTTTGGGGGGTGGGTGGGTTAGGGAAATGAGTCGCTGGATGGCTCAACATCGACACTTTGAAGCGAATAGTTTCTCATTGCGTGGGCTGGGCTTTCAAGTGATGGTCTTTCGGCATCGGCCTGTACGATGCGGCCCCGAGTGATGTACATGACTTTGCCTTCATGTCTGGTCATCCCTACGTTCTCCCCTCTCTCGCATGTCAGTAGTGCAGCTTGTTTCAGTGTGCAACACGTTTTTCTCAAGGTCATCAACAGCGTCTTCTTTAGCGTTTTTTTTATGAGCGCAGTGTGTTTTTGTGCACGCTTCCTGCGGTGGCATCCCGCCTCTTGGTCTTACTCATGACTATGATGCAGAGCCTTTCTGATGTAAGGTTTGCCATTATCATCGCTCTGGACATGTCGGTAAATGCCGAGGTACACGCTTGACCACATACCGCTAACAATCAGATCCATTCATACTCGGCATGGCCATAGCCAGACCCATCCACTCGGGCATCTTACACTCATATCATTCACGCTGAGACTCACTTTTCTTCAAACTCACACCCAGGCTCACCCATATTCAGTCGCCCCCAGACCCACTCATACGCGGACTCGCTCATACTCAACACCCTCATCCGCACATCAATTCGTACTCGTGCTTCCATGGCAGCCGCGACGAACCACGGATGGCGTTTGGACCACCCAAGGGGGAGCCGACCAGGGGTGCTGCACGGGCCCGTTCGCGCTCAGACTGATGGGAATTCTCGGGCGGAGTGTCAGCTGTGTTTCTGTTTGGGGGGGTCGTAGGCGTGTGTTTGTTCTCAGGCCCCCATGGCCCTCGAGATGCAGCATGCATGTCGCTCGAGCTTCCCACGGGGAAGCCGGCCGAGGGTGTTTGACGGACCCGTGCCAGCTCCTCGGCCGCTCGCTGCGCGCCTCGCGGCCGCCTCATCCCTCTGTCTGCTCTGCCCAGGGCTCTCGTCCTCCTGCCGCCTCCTCCTCTGTGCCTTCGTGCCGCCGCTGCTTCTCGTCGCTGCGCCTCCTCCCGGTCGCCCGCCCTGCGCACGGCTCCTGCCTCCGCCTCCCCGCTCCCCGTCTCCGGGTCCGCCCCCTCCCCCCGCTGCTCCCCTCGCCGCGTCGGCTGCCCCGCGAGGCGATGCCGCCGAGCCCCCCCTGTGGGCGGACTCGCTGTCCCCACGCGCGCAGACCTGGGCCGGCCGTGCGCGCCTCCTCGCCGAAATCTCTGCGCCGCGCCGCCGCGCGCGTGGCCGCGACGCCAAAAAGTGTGTGTGTGTGTGCATCCCCGTGTGCGTAGCCCGCCTGGCTTTTAGCGGACGAGGTTCGCTCCCGGCCCGCAGATCAAAAGTGTGTGTGTGTGCATCCCCGCAGGAGTGACTAGACCTCCTGCGATGCGCAGCGTATCGCCCCACTCTGCCCACCCTGCCGTCGTCGCCCTGCTGGTGTTTCCCCCGTCCCACGCCTTCGAGCTGCGCCCCCGCGTGGGAGGCCCGGCGTCGGGCGGCGCGCCGCCTCTCCGCCATCCACGCCCGGGTGGTGATGCCCCTCCTCCGCGCTCTCGCGCTACGTCCCCATTTGGGGGGTCCGGCGTTGGGCGTTGTGTCAACTCCCCGCCGTCCACGCCCGGATGGCTTGCTGCCGCGGGCATGCGTGGGGTTCAAAGCGACCACGCCTGACGGCCCGGCCGCGCGCGCACCGGCTCCGACCTTACGCGCCGCTTCGAGGCCGCGACCGCCAAAAAGTGTGTGTGTGCGTGTGAGAGAGACAGTGTGCGTGCGCGTGTGTGTGCGTGCGCATGTGTGTATACATACATATATACAGTGTTTGCTCATCATCTGAGGGTCTGGCCGCGCGCGCTCTTAGTTTGTTCCCTGCCCGAATTTATTCGCTTCGTCGCTGCGCGCGATGCCGCGATCGCCAAAGAAGTGTGTGTGTGTGTGTGTGTGTGCGCTTGCTTATCTTCAGCGCCCCATGATCACAGCGATGTAGCAGGCATGCCATTTGAAGTTCCCAAGGGGGGCCGACCAATTGTGCATCACGCGCCCGTTCGTGGTCAGTCTGTCGGGAGGAACGTTTTCTGTGTACACGCGCTGTCACGGCTTCGGTAGGGAGTTTACGAACCCCCCCGCCTTGCGCCCCGCCGACAAACGACGACGACGAGGACGACGACGACGACGGGGACCACGACGACGACGTGTCCCGCCAGCCCGCCCAATCGATTCGCCCACGCCGACGACGTGTCCTGCCCGCCCGTCCGACCGAGTCTCGCACACGATGGCGATGACGACGACGACAAAGCATTCCGCCCGCCCGACTGGTCGAGTCGCACACGGCGGCGACGACGACGGCGACGGCGACGACGATGACGACGTGTCCCGCTCGCCCGCCCGACCGGCCGTCTCGCCAACGACGGCGGTGACGACGACGACGACGACAACGATGACGGCCAGGAATTCGTGTACTCGGGCGGGCGGGCGGGACGTTAAACACAATCAGTTTTGTCCCATCAGCCAACCAGGGTTGCATTTCTTGTCCAGCCCGCCCGCCCGATTGAACGTCCCGCCCGCTGTCGTCGCCGTCGTCGCCGTCGCCGTCGCCGTCGCCGTCGCCGTCCCCGTCGGCGTCGCCGTCGCCGTGGCCGTCGCCGTCATTGTCGTCGTCGTCGTCGTCGTCGTCGTCGTTGTCGTCATCGTCGTCGCCGCTGTTGCGGTCAGATTGCCGGGACCTCTTATGCAGAGTGTCCGTTTGGGGGTGGGGTGTTGGGGTCGAGTTTGGTTGTTTGCATAGCCCCATGACCATCGCGATGTACCAGGCATGGCATGTGAGCCTTCCGAAAGGGAGCCGACCAGGGGTGTATCACGGGCCTGTTCGCGGTCAGGATGTCGGAGGCAATCTGCATTTTTTTAGGGGGGGGGGCGCTTGCTTCCAAGGCCCCAGGACCATCGCGATGAAGCAGACGTTGCATTTGAGCCTCCCATAGGGGAGCTGGCCAGGGGTATATTTCGGACCCGTTCGCGATCACATTGTCATGACATCTCAGGCAGAATTGCCGTTTGGGGGTATGCGCGTCTCTCTCTTCGGACCCCGTGCTCATCCTGATGTTACAAGCATGGCATCGAGGCACCCCAGCGGAGAGCCGCCAGGGAGCGTGACACGAGGATGGCCGATTTGATGAGGTCGTTGTGTTTCTTTTCGGAGCCTCATGACCATCGCGATGTAGAAGACATGATGACATGTTGGCGTCCCGACGGGGAGCCGCAAGAGATTGTGACACGGGCCCGTTCGCGCCCAGACATCTCGAGACCTCCCGATCGGAATGCCAGTTGTTCTTTTGGGGGAAGGCGTGTACATGATCGTCATGATGTGGCAGGCATAGAGTTTGGGCATCTCTAGGGGAAGCCGGCAGGGTGTACGATACCGGCCCGTTCGCGCCCAGACCATCGCAACTTCTCAAGCAGAATGCCCGTTTTGGGGGGTAGACGTGTGTCTGATCAGAGCCCTACTATCATCGCGGTGTGGCACGTACGGCATTCGGGCACCGAAGCAGGAAGCCGCCAGGGAAGGCCCACTCATACCCAGACCCGCTTACATCCCAAGCCATTAGTTTTCGGCCGCTCAGGCTCGCCCATACCCGGACGCTGGCAGAAAAGGAATTCGTCAGATAAGGAGATGCACACATAGGGATCTCTGCGCCGAGAAATGCGGCTCCGCTGTTGTTCGTTTGCCCAGCCTTCTCATGCGAATTCGTGATCGAAGGTTTTTTGTTCGGACGGTCTTTGGGGGCAAGTCTGATCGCGATGCCGCCTCCAGTTGGACCTTCCGGCGGCGCAGACGGGCAATCTGCAGAGACGTGGTCGGATCTGCATGGGAGCCGCAAGGGGCTACACGACACGCAGCGCTCAGGCGGCGGCCGCTGCACGGGGGAAGGGGGAGGGGCATCGCCTCGCAGGAAGCACCACGCTCAGAAGCGCCAGAAGTCCAGGCCGCACTCGACGCTGCAGAGCGCGGCGACACCTGCTCTTATTTGCGCGATCATGGCACTGTGTCCTGGTGGAAGTAATCGAGCCCGTCATTCTTGCAGTTTGTGCCTCAGCGGTCTTTGAGCTCAGTGGCCCTGTGGCCTCAGAGGCACTTTCATTCGAGGCTGCCAGTGTAGACATCGCGACGCTTGATGTCATCTTGGGGAACGTCATTCGCATCGTCGTCATCGTCATCCGAAGAGGTCATCACCCCATCATCACCGCACTCCCTTTTGTCACCATCACCATCACCATCACGATCACCACCAGCATCATCGTCATCACCATCATCATCACCACCGTCACCGCTATCATCACCACCACGACCTCGCGCTGCGGCGGTGTCGTGACGGTCTCCAACGAATCGATTTCGTTGAGGAATGGGAGGCCGTAGTCGACGATGCGCCATGGGCTTCAGAATCCGGTGGGGACACCGAGTGCCAGTACGTCCGTCCGTTCGACGGCACTTATGTGGACGATGAGATCATTGTTAGTTCCGCATGCACTGCGGCGGAGCTGGAGGCCCGAACGCCTGTGCTCCTCGCCATCTTTGCCGAGGCCTTACCCCACCACGGTCGTCAGATCAACGGGGCACCAGGCAGGACAGACGAGCCTGTGTGCGCAGGCCGCGCGTCGCCGGATGGTCGACGAAGGTTTTTTCTATTTGAAGCCCTTGGCCACAGGTAAGGTCGTGACATCATATCAGCACGTAGGCAGTGTATTCCAGGCCAACCCGTCTGTCAATGCCGATGTGAAACGCCGCCTGCAGCATGCGAAGGTGGCATTCTACCCTTTCCTTTGGCGCCTCTTCACGACGTCGCAGGTGAGTTCGGGGTGCTCCTCATGCTCTTCGATCTGTCAGTTACGTCTGTTGTATGAAATGGGAAGATTACACGGGTTTCCACGCAAGGCCTTGCACCAGTTCGAAATCCCCCAGATGACCGCCGTGCGTTGCATCACTGGCCAGTCCTGTGTTCCTCGCGAAGGGCTCACGGTATTGTCCGACGCCAAACTTTGGAAGAAGTATCCGAAGAGGATACAACTGCATAAGCATAAACTTCTGGAGCTCTGCGCGGATGTCTTGGATCGGCGCTGGACCCTTCTCCCGCCAGGGGTTCCAGCGGCGATCCGAGGAATGCGCGCGGAGCGCCGAAAGTTTATGTATATGCCGCTTTTGTTCCTCCAAGTATGGCGTCGAATCCCCTGAGAGCCGCGTGAGGAGGCGGCGCACCAAGCACGCCGCAGCCTCAGCCAGGACCCCTTGGCCTGAACTGCTGCGCGCTGCTGCGCGCGGCGCCCGTGACGCCAGAGCGGAGACCGGCCCAGGGCCACCGTGGTCGTGCGCTGGAGGCCGTCTGTCCTGGCTTGCTCCCCCTTGGGGACCCGACGGTCGATTGGTTCGTTAGCAAATTCCTTCTTTGGCGTCGGTTAGCGTCGACTAGTGCCTGGTAATCGATGAGGTTGCGCTGGTTTAGCGTCGATTCGCGTCGATTGGCGTCGGCTAGTGTCGATTTAGCGTCGATCAGCATTGGTTGGCGCAAGTGTCGAAGAAAACAGCGGTAAAAACATAAACTTTCGGCGCTACGTGTGGATCTCTTGGGTCTGCGCTGGGCGTTCCTGGCGGCGCCTTCGGCGCCGACCCTGGCGCGCTCCGCGCGCCGGGGAGGGGGGTCCAGCGCCGATCCGAGAAATTAGCGCGGGCTTCCAAGGAAGCATGTTTATGCAGTTTTTTCTTCATCTACTTGGGGATCCGATGGTCGATTGGCGCAGGTGTCAGAACTTCATGCGCATGGGGTCGTTCAGGCTGGACACCGCGTGCCAGTTCCTGAGGTCCGACGAGAGTTCGCTGGCGCAGCAGCACTCCAGGGCGTTCCAGGACCTCACTGCTGCGCTCCCTCGTGGCAGCGGCTGACGTGCGAGTTGTGCCTTACAGAGCACGCCCGGATCTTCAACACCATGAAGGCCCTCAAGAGAGCACGGGCTTCGCAAGATGTTCAGGAAGCTCGTTACCAGCTCTCGGTGCCCTGCCTTCGGCGATGACTACGGTTGCCTCTGCGAAGCCTTGGGTCACTTGGAGTACAGGGCGATCAGATGCCGCCGTCGGATGGAGAGCGGGGAGCTCCATGAGCTACCGCTAAAACTCGTCACACAGCTTGACGAGCAAGACTGCCGAACCCCCCATGCTATGCAGCGCCGCCGCAGCGCCGCCGCCCCTCGCTACGACCGAACCCAGTTATGCTTGCTCGTTCGCTCGATCGCTCATCACCACCGTCATCACCATCATCATCATCATCGTCACCATCGTCACCATCGACACCATCACCACCATGGTCACCATGGTCACCATGGTCACAATGGTCATCATCGTCACCATTGTCACCATCGTCACCATCACCATCACCATCATCACCATCATCACCATCACCATCACCATCACCATCATCATCATCATCATCATCATCATCATCATCATCATCATCATCATCATCATCGTCATCATCATCATCACAATCATCACCACCATCATCATTGCCATCATCACCACCGTTACCATCAGCATTATCACCACAAGCACCATCACCGCACCATCACCATCACCATCACCATCACCATCACCATCACCATCACCATCACCATCATCATCACTATCACCATCATCATCATCATCAGCATTATCATCATTATCATCATTCCCATGATCATCAACATCAGCATCACCATCATCACCACCGACATTACCATCACCATCATCATGATGATAATCACAAGTATCTTCATATTTATATTCATATTCATCTTCATCTCCATCTTCATCTTCAACAGCATGTTCATCACCACCATCACCATCACCATCATCATCACCATCATTATCATAATTTTCATCTTCAACAGCGTCATCACCACCATCAACATCCTCATCTTCGACAGCATCATCACCGCCATCACCGTCACCATCATCATCATCAGCATCATCATCATCATCATCATCATCATCATTATCATCTTCATCACCCTACCAACAACCAGCGTCATCATCTCCATTTTCATCATCACCACCATCAGCGTCACCACCGCCATCACCATCATCATCACTATCACCATGACCATCACCACCACCGCCATCACCATCACCATCAATATTACCATCACCATCACCATCGCCATCACCATCGCATCACCATCACCATCACCATCACCATCACCATCACCATCACCATCACCATGACCATGACCATGACCATGACCATGATCATGACCATCACCATCACCATCACCATCACCTTATCATCATCATTACCATCCCCTTTAATAACCATCATCATCATCATCATCATCACCATCACCATTATCATCATCATCATCATCATCATCATCATCATCTTTGGAACTATGGTCATGTGGCTCAAGCCGTTCGGAAAACAGCCACGTGAACAGACCACGACCTGTAGTTTCTGTGGATACACAGTGGTCATTACGAGGCCACCCCTGTGCAGCAACCATCATGGATCAGCAGAATCCGAATTTCGTACCGCAGACAATGGATCAGGATGGTAAGTTGGTCGGTGCGCGGGTGCCCCCATCTTTCTGGGCAAAGTGCTGCTTCCCGCCGTGCGCTATCTCGGGGTACGAGACTGGCGATCCCACCGCGGGCATGTGTTCAGGCATGGCCCTGTGGGCTTTCATCCTCGAGATTTTCTGCTGCATGGGCTGCGTCGTGTCCCTGTGCTGCTGGTCGCCAGATCCACAAAACATCACAGGGGACGGCTCGCAGCGCACCGTGGAGGACAGGTGCATGGCTGGCTTTTGCGTCGGCTTCTTGGCCATTGCCTTCTGGGAGAACGGCGACTTCTGCTGCGGGCCGGACGGCTCGTGCACCTGGTGCACCGAGGAGGCGCTGAAGGGCTGCTTAGCTCGCTGGATCCCTGAGCTCGTCGGCCTCCCGCCCTTGGACTGCTGCTACGTCATGTGCATATGGAAGCCCGAGCAGTCGCGCAGGCTCTTCCGCCGCGACCTGAGCAACCACGGGGGCGGACAGCCTGCCCCAGTGGGCGCCCCGGTGCAGACCGGTGCAGGGAACCTCCCGTACTTCCAGGTGGGCCTGCCGCAGCAGGCCCCGCAGGTCGTGGGCCAGGCCCAGGGACACTCTGTGAATCACCACCCACCAAACCACCCCAACCCAACCCGAAGGCTCAGATTTACCCTCGATTTCCAGTGGGGGGGGTCGGGAAACATCGAAAAAGCACATATGGAACCCTTACCCCCCCCAACCCGAAATTCGGGTCTTCGGGTTGGGTTGGGGTGGTCTGGTAGGTAGTCAGTGAAGCACGGCTGCCGGCCCAGATCTTCGGCGGCGTGGTTTTTCCAATCCGGACGCGCTATCGGCGATGTAGGTAGCGGCGATGCAGGTTTCGGCATTGCAGGTGGGGGCGGTTCGTGGCCAACCCAGTCGCAGGAAGGCGCTGTTCGTGCTTTCCTGCGAGCCGTTCTGCGCGGGTTCGGCGCCGCAGAGCGCAGATTCCCAGCATCGCTGCGCACCAACGTCGCCGTTCGCGTGGCCGTGGTGAGTTTTTTCAGCCGTCGGGGCCCATCATTAAAACAACGCGAAGATCGGGACACAATCGGATCGGGATAACTCGAAATCTCTGAGAATCGGCGGGTTTGGAGGATGTATTGGGCGCCGCGGCCGCGCCAGAGCGTTCCGGAACGCTCTGAGAGCGCTCCGGAACGCTCTGGAGCGATTTATCCCGATCCTGGCCCTGTTTTAATCATCGGGCCCCGGGGCCTTCCGACTCGGATCCGGGACCGAGGCCTACCCCCCGGGGGAGCGGTCGGACGTGGCAGGACCGCGGAGATTGGACAGATCGGTTCGGCGCGCGTCAGGGAAGCCAGCCCTGCCCCCCCCCCCGCGCCCCGCTCCCCCTCACCCCTCGTGGGGGAGGGCGAGGGGGGGTACTCCAGATTTCGTCATAAAGGGAGGGGGGTCTCATTTCGGGGGGGGTCTCTTCCAGGCTATCTTGGAGGGCCTCGGGGGTCTGGGGACGATGTTTTGGAGGGTTCTCCCACGGGGGAGGTCTGAAATGGCTTGTCTTGGAGGGTCCAGACCCCCTCCCTTTTATTACGAAATCTGGAGTATGGTATTCCGAGGCGGGAATTTCTACAGGACCACCGCCTGGAGGGTCAGTCTTCGGAGCCTCGGCAGGCGGTGGATGTGGACACATTCGGGCCCCCGGGGGCCGAAATATGTTCATATCCACCGCCCGCTGGGGCACCAGGACGTCGGTTCCCAGGCTCAGCCACGCGCAGAGGGGGGTGGGGGGAGGGGGGAGGGCTTCTTAGAAGCACCCCTGCTTCTTAGAAGGCGCGGGTTTTATCTACAGATGTGAGGCCGGCGCCTTCTAAGAAGCAGCCTCCTTCTAAGAAGCCTTCCCCCTTCCCTCCACCCCCTTGTGCGCGCCGCCAACAGGCGGTGGATATGGATAAATTCCCGCCTCGCAGGTATGGTATGGGTCTGCGCTCCGCGCGGGGCCTCCCGCCCGATCCACCGAGCTCGGCTTCCGGCCCGCGCTCTTCGGCGCCGCTGCTCTCGCCTCGCTCCAGGGACGGGCGGCCGATGCGCGGACTTGCATCGAGCTCCCCCTCCCACGGCCCGAACGCCCTCAGGACCTCCGCCCGCCCTTTCTTGTGGGCCCTACCCCATTCCAGGGCTGGACCTGGATGGTGTTTTGGCCACTTCGTGGGCCGTTTTCGGTTCGATTTCGTTTTGCGGTAGAGGCGGATCGAAGACGGAACGAGGGAAGACAAGAACACAACGACAACGAAAAACACCGTCTAGGTTCAGGCCTGCCCCAGTCGCCGGGGGTCGCTGTAGATGCAGAGTCGGCGTCCTCCTCAGGGGGGGTTGCTGGATCGGCGACCGCAGTGACAGACCCTCTCAAGGTGCAGCAGCCGGTGGTGGTCGGCGCGGTGCGGGGTGGGGCCAAGTGTCCGCGCGCACGGGCCCCAGCCTCGGCCCACCCTGGGGCCAGGACCAGTGCACTCAGGTGGGAACAAAAACACGCAGACACAATTAATCGTCGATTCCCAGAAAATATGGGAAAATATTGGAAGTGGGGTGGAAGACAAAAACCCAGAACATATGGGAACATATGGGGAATCCTGTTAGTTGTGTGTATTTATTTGTGTGTCCCAGGGCCCCTTCATGCATGCGCCGACCTGACAGAGTCCAGGAGGACGCCTCCGCCAATCTCGGGGGCTTCCAAGAGTGGGTGGGGACTGCACCCATCAGAAATCTAAGGACAGATGCCACATTTCATGGGCTCCATATTGCGCTTTCGCTCAAGAAAACCAAGAACATGGACTGGACCCTGTGCGTTTTCTTGGAGCTTCTTTTCTTCTTAGAATGCTCGTGTATGTGAACCTGGGCTACTGGTTAAGAAAACGCATGGTGTGAAGTCCATCTTCGGAACGTAGACCTTTCCGAAGTCGCTGGGGGGGTAGGGGGGTGGCGGATACAATGGCCGGGAGTATGAGATCTCCCAGATCTCTCTTGCACTGCTCTTCTCCCCTCGCTGCGTCCCTTGGGCCCCCCCCCTCGTCCGCGCACATGCCTCGGGCAATTACGCACACCCCCGCCTCTTCCTGGCCCCCCTCCGGCCTAACCGACCCCTAGCAAACCATCCCCTTCCGTGACGACCCCCCCCCGCCTCGCCCCACGACGTTTGTATGCGGCCGGAGGGGAGCTCGAAAGGCGAGGGTGACGTCACGGAAAGGAATGGTTTGCCAGGGGTCGGTTAGGCTGCGCCCTGGAGTTGGCGCTCTCTGAAGGTCGTCGCTCAGCCAGCGGGGTACGGCGGCCAGGAGTACGGCTCGAACAAGGAGGCCTACGGCACAGCCTGACCTCCGGGCCGCGGGGCGGCTCACGCTGCCGCCGATCGGGAGGCGGGCTAGCTGAGCAGGAGGAGGAGGAGGAGGAGGAGGAGGAGGAGGAGGAGGAAGAAAATGGGCGAACGGAAGAGCCAGAAGCCTCTCGAGTGCCTCTCGGAGTCTCCTCGGAGGTCGCTGGGAAGCTTATTGGAGCCAGAAGCCTCTTGGATACCGGCGGAGACTGAGGATGGGAATGACGACGGCGGCTATGACGAGGAGGTGGTAGGGGGTTCGCTGCGGCTCGCAAGTGGAGCCGACTGGGGTGGAAGCGGGGCGACGGGGCGGGAGGATGAGGACGGTGAGGATGAGGATGGTAAGCATGCTCGCGATGGTGATGGTAATGATGGTGGTGATAGTGATCACGCCGATTACGAAGCTGAGGGAATTGATGGTACTGGCGACTACAGGGTTGTTGATGATGGTGGTTACGTCGACGATGATGGTGGTGGTTGTGATGATGAAGCTGACGGTGATGTTGATGAAGAAGGTGACGATGTCGATGCGGATCACACTGAACATGCTGGCGATTGCGATGGCGACTTTGCTGTTGATAATGTTGAGTACGACGATGACGATGACGATGATACTTATGATGCTGCTGCTGTTGCTGCTCACGACGGCGATGATGCTGCTGCTGATAGCAATAATGATGCTGCTGCTGATGATGATGATTATGATGATTATGCTGCTGCTGCTGCTGATGATGATGATGAAACTGATTATGATGATGATGGATGGTGATGATGATGACGGCAACAACGACGAATGATGATGATGATGATGATGATGATGATGATGATGATGATGATTATGATGATCATGATGGCGTCGATGCTGATGATGCTGATACTGATGCTGATGATGACGGCATCGACGCCGACAAGGATGATGATGACGACGATGATGCTGATGATGATGTTGATGATGCTGCTGATGATGCTGCTGCTGTTGCTGTTGCTGCTGCTGCTGATTCTGATGATGATGCTGTTGATGATGATGATGCTGATGATGATGCTGATGATGCTGCTGATGATGCTGATGATGATGCTGCTGCTGATGATGATGCGGATGCTGTTGATGATGCTGCTGTCGATGCTGATGCTGCTGCTGATGCTGATGATGATGCTGATAACGATGCTGCTGATGATGCTGCTGATGATGCTGATGATGCTGATGATGATGTTGGTGCTGATGCTGCTGTTGATGATGAGGATGCTGCTGATGATGATGACGATTATGATGATGGTGCTGCTTCTGATGCTGCTGCTGTTGCTGTTGTTGCTGCTTATTATTATGATGATGCTGTTGATGCTGATGTTGATGATGATAATGCTGATGCTGCTGCTGCTGCTGCTGCTGCTGCTGATGATGATGATGATGATGATGATGATGATGATGATGATGATGACGATGACGATGACGCTGACGATGACGATGATGGTGGTTGTGGTGGTGGTGATGGTGGTAATGATGATCCTCGGGCTTACGCCACACTGCTGACCCCTTGGGAGAGGGCCTCTAGGGCGCCTTTTGGGGATTTCTTGGTGCACTTTTGGGCGCTGCATGGGGGCCTCTGGGGGGCTTCTCTGAGCTTCGTGAATGGCTCGACATGCGGGCCCTGGTTCCCCTTCGGGGTTCGGTCTTGCGGCTGTCTGGGCTCTCGTTTGGCCTGTGTTGGAGGCCTCTGGGGCCGCCTGCGGGCCGTGTGCGGGCCCTCGTCGCCCGCGTAGGGGCTCTCTTGGAGGCCTCTGGGGCCGTCTGGGGGGATCTTGGGAGCTCTTGGGCCGCCGTGTAGCGTCGGGAACCCCACAAGGCCAGAACGCCGAAAACTTTCAACGTCGAACTGAAACTCGATGAGAGTGTTGTCTCGTGGGGCTCTCTTGGCAGGGCCGGAAATGTTCGTTTGTGTTCCCCCGCTGGGCCCCCTGTTGAAGCTGCCCTGGGGCCCCCCTGGGCCGTCTTGGGGGCCTCTTGAGCGGTCTTGGGGCCCTCTGGGGTCGTCTGGGGGCCCTCTTGGCGGCCCCTCGGGCCGTCTTGGGGTGATGCAGGAGGCTTCTTGTGCCGCCGTGGACGGTGTGATCGCGCAAGAGGCGACTGTCCTAAACATGCAGGTTTCTCCAGAGGAAAGGTCGAGTTTTGCTATTGGCGGTCGTCTTGGGAAGCTTCGTCGTGGCTTCTTAGGGCGTCTTGGGGGCCCTCTTGTGCCGTCTGGAGGCTAGCGCGAGCGCTTTGGATCGATCTTTCAGCGGCTCGTGGCCCTCGTGGACCGTTGTGCTGGGGCCCCACTGGGCCGTCTTGGGGGCTTCTTGAGCGGTCTTGGGGCTCCCTGGGATTCTCTGGGAGCCCGCTTGGAAGCCTCTTGGGCCGCCCTGGGACTGCGGGAGGCTTCTTGGGCTGCCGTGGACGGGGTAATCGCACAAGAGGCGACTGTCCTAAAGATACACGTTTTCTGAAGGAAATGGGGCGATTCTGGCTCTTGGAAGCCGTCTTGGGACGCCTCTTCGGGACTTCTTGGGGCGTCTTGGGGACCTCTTGGGCCGTCTGGGGGTTTAGCGCGAGCGCTTTGGATCGAGCTTTCAGCGGCTCGTAGCCCTGTCGAAACGTCCAGAGGGCCTCTTGGGGCCCTATTGGCCTGTTTTGGGTCTTTCTGTCCCCCCTGGACGCGCTCGGACGGTCCGCGGGGGACCCCCCCGTCGAATCGACCAGGCCGGGCTCCCGGGAGAGGGGTTCTGGGAGGGGGAAGCATCTCACACGCCGACGAACCCCAAAGGGTCGGCGGATAATGATACTGATGCTGATCGTGATGAAAGCGACTTTGTGATATTGATGATGATGGTAATGGTGATGATGATGATGATGATGATGATGATGATGATGATGATGATGATGATGATGATGATGATGATGAGGATGATGATGATGATGATGATGGTGGTGGTGGTGGTGGTGGTGATGATGCTGCTGATGATGAGGATGATGATGGTGAGGGTGATGGTGATGATGATGGTGATGCTGCTGCTGATGGTGATGATGAGGACGATGATGATGCTGATGATGACGGCGATGCTGATGACGATGATGATGATGGTGATGATGAGTGATAATGATAAGGATGACGATGACGATGATGATGATGATGCTGATGAGATGCTGATGACGATGATGCTGATGATTCTGATACTGGTGATGATGACGCTGCTGACGACGCTGATGATGACGATGATGATGAGAAGGATGCGGATTAAGATGATGATGATGCTGATGATACTGGTGATCATGATGATGCTATCTAGATATGTAGGCACATAGTTCGATATCTATGAGAGAGCGTGATCCACCGCCGCTTTACAGTGGAAAATTCGCCCCCCCCCCTCTTCCTCCGGAACCCGGGGGTCCCCCCCCCTCCGAAAATCCCCCCCCCCCCCTGCCCCCCTCCCCCCTCCCCTCCCCCGGCCCAAAACCCCCGTTCCTCCCCTAAACCCTCCCCCCCCCCCTCCCCCCTCGGAAACCGGGCGGGGTCACTACTGGTTCGAACCCCCCACCCCCCCCTCGAAAACCAGGGGGGGTCACTACCGGTTCGAACCCCTCCCCCCCCCCCTCACCGCCAGCAAACGACTCCCGGTCCCTACCACCGTCCGCACCACATCCCCCACTGTTGTTCCCAGCACCACTGTCCTCACCACCACTGTCCCCACTGGTTCCACCACCGTCCCTACTGTCCCCACCAGTGCCCCCACCACTGTCGCACTGTCCCCACTGTCCCCACCACTGTTCCCACCCACCACGGTTCCACTCTCCCCACTTTCTCCACGACCCCAACCACTGCCCGACTATCCCCACTGTCCCCACTGTCCCACTGACTCCTCCGCTGTCCCACTGAGCTGTCCCACTGTTCCCACCACTGTCCCCAATGTCCCCACTGTCCCCACCGCTGTCCCCACTGTACCTCTGTCCCATTGTCCCACCGCCGTCCTCGCCACCGCCTTCACCACTGTCCCCACCACCACTGTACCCTCCACTGTCCCACTGTTTCCACCTCATTCCCACTGTCCCCACACCACTGTCCCCACCACCACCGTCCCCACCACTGTCCACTGTCCCCACTGTTCCCACCATTGTCCTCACCACTGTCCCCACCACTACCGTCCCCACCACTGTCCCACTGTCCCCACCACTGTCCCGCTGTCCCCTCACCACTGTCCCCACCACCACCGTCCCCACCACTGTCCGCAGCCCCCCCCGATTTTCGAGGGGGGGGGGGGGGTTCGAACGGTAGTGACCCCCCCCGGTTTTCGAGGGGGGGGGGTTCGAACCGGTAGTGACCCCTCCCCCTCTTGTCATGATGGACTGGGGGGGGGGGGGGGGAGGGGTTCGAACCGGTAGTGACCCCCCCCGGTTTTCCGGAGGGGGGGGGGGGGGAAGGGTTTTGAACCGGTAGTGACCCCCCCCAGTTTTCCGCCAGCAGCGGTAGAACACGCTCTTTCATATCTATACGACCACCCTGCGGGTGATAATGAGGTAGGGGGCATCAATGGGCAACAGTGGTGGTGGCTGTTGTTCTGACGATGCCTGTGGTGCGCATATCGATGTGCATGTCGACTTGCTTTTCGGTCTGCATCTCGATTTGCATGTCGACATGTCGATGTGCATGTCGATTTGCTTTTCGATCTGCATCTCGATTTGCATGTCGACTTGCATTGGAAAGCTCGCCGCAGGCGCCGATTTTTTTTGTTCTTTTTTTATTCGCAACCCACGGCGCCTTACGATTTGCATTTGGATGTGCATGCCGATTTGCATTTCGATGTGCTTTTCGGTTTGCATGCCGGTTTGCATGTAGACTTGTATTGGATAGCTCGCCGCAGCCACGGCGGGACACCGGCGGGACACAAGCGGGACACCGCGGGGCACCGTTTGACGGGAGGAGCATCATCTGGTCCGGCCGCGGCCAAGCCACAGGAGGATTTCGGGACACC